CGTAGTTACGTTTAACGTTTTAACGTTTTAACTTAAGTTTAGTATAGTAGAATAACTAAACTAAAATAATTTAAATTTAAATTTAACTACTATATATATATATATATATATAGTAATTAAACTTTAAGCCCACTAGCTAACAATTATAATAAACACTCAATGACCCAAAAATTGAATCTGGGTCAATCCAATGGTCATGATTGTATTTTTATATTTTAATTTTAATTTTTTTTTTAGAAATTCAATTCACTTGAAACTTTGAGCGTATACTATTGAAAAATAGGCACACCCAATAAAAATATTAAAAAATAATTGGTAAAAAATAAATTGAACAAAATATCCCAAAAAACAATAGGGAAATTTTAGTCAATTTATTTATTTTGAATAATTTTTTAAATATTTTAATAGGTAAGCCTTGATGAGAAGAGTGGACGTTCCAAATTTCAAGTGATTTGGATAAGTAGAAAAAATATTAAAATTCATATATAAAATACAATTATGATTATCAGATTGTCTGAGGTTCAATCTAGGTCATTGGGCTTACACTATTCCATCTGTTAGTGGCCTAATCAGAACTTTTACTAATATATATACTAGTTAAATTATGTACATTGTACATATGCAATTACTTGTAACATATTAACTAAATATTCAATGATCAAAGAGATCTATTAATAAAAAATTTGATTAATCATGAGTCACTCTTTAGATATAATAAAATTTTAACTACAATAATATGGAGAAGTAGTTACAATTAAAAAAAAAAAACAAAAAATTATAATTTATTGCAATTTTTTTCTAAAATGTTAACTACAATAATATGGAGAAGTTGCTATAATTTTAAAAAAATTAACAAAAATTTATAATTTATTGCAATATTTTTCTCCAAAAAATATGAGAGGAAAATTTGTATAGAACGACAATGATTTTGAGTTCATACCATTGTCATTGTCAATATTACATGAGGATCACTTCTCTCTTAGTGGAATGGATTTTTGTCATTGGAGTGTTTTTTAGAGTTATGATCCATTTCCTATTATGTAATATCACTACAAATTTTGAACATATGCTGAATGTATGCAACAAATACGATAATTATTATTGTATATAAATATTGCATTACAAATATATGGGTACATACATGGACTGTTCTAAATTAAGTAATTGGTTAGTGATTTTATCTTCTATTTTATTGAATATTATCGCAAATAATGAGAAAATATAAAAAAAATTATTTTATTATTTTATTCATAATACTACTGGCTCATACCTTTAGAGAGGAAATAAATGACCATTTTTTATTCCTATGATCGAGAAGAAGCTATGGAGCAAGGGAATATGTTAGGCTTCTTGATTTCCTGCAATCGGAAAGATATTCAAAAACAAAATGACATCGTCTGAAAGCAATCCCGTCATGGTGAGCACCTCATACAATTTTAGAAGATAGAATCCCTTCATAGTGAACCCAATAACCAATCCCGTCATAGTCCATAAAAGCATAGAAATAAAACATTCAAAAATTTAAATAAAATCATTATGAGCACCCAAATTCTATTGATGAACAGAAAAGGAAACAATAGATAGATCATGGATCAAGTTTGACATGTGATTGCTAAGATGCATCCCGGCTTTGCATAACGATTGAGGCCCTCACGTGATGTATAATTAAAATATATATTGTTATATCTTTATAACAATGTAAGTGATGAATGTAATAATGTGAGAAGATATATAAAAATAATAAAACACAATAACAATGTAAGCATTGTTATAACAATAAAAGAGGGATAAAAATAATAAAATATACAATAAGGAAAATAATTTGTCGTCATGAATTTAGTTAGAAATAGTAAAATTTATGAATTTTTTTAAAAAATCCATTAAAAAAATAAAATATATTTGAAATAAATTAATGTGAGTATAACAGGAGAGTCCAATTTTAATAACTAAAAGTAAGACATAGTTTATTCCCAAATATTGATTTCAAAATAATCCATTATATAGAAATCTTATATGCATTCGTATAAGCTGTTACTCTTCATTCATATAAGCTGTATTCGGTCACCTCCGTTGGTTTCCAATGAGCTCTGTTGTGTTCCAATGAGCAGCTTTGCAGTAGTCCCTAGGTTGTGTATATTTGTCCTTCTATGTTGTGTATATTTGTCCTTCTATGTTGTTCACCTAATGGAGAAAAGCAATGAGCTCTGTGCAGCTTTAATGAAGAGAAGGTTTCCAAACATCCAAATATTAACGTAGGAAAGAGAATATCTTAATATAAAGGACCATGGGGAGAGAGGTTTTATTGGAGGGAAACTTGCTGGAAGTAGAGATTGAAGAAAATCCTAAAATTTTTGGAGAAAATCTTCAATAAGTGCAGATGGGAGGGCATCTACATATTGCAGGATATCCGCCATGCTATTCAACGACTTCTTCCAAGAGACGATTGCACTCGTCCCTCGCTATTGATCATAGAAGTATTTTGGTCATAATAATATTCCATGATAGTTTTGGTCATAACAATATTGAGCCATACTTTCGATCATAATAGCAATCAGAAATGGATATTCACTTCGCTTTTTGTTTACTCACTGCTAAAATAATTAATTTACACAGTAGCACTACACTAATCAGAGGGTAAGCATCGCTAAGTATCCCATAGTTCAAAATTTAAGCCCACCACCATATTGTCGAGAAAGCACCAGATTATTGAAGGATATTAATCACCTGAAAATAAATTAATGTGATTTTCAATCTGGATTTCTCAGATATTGTTATGAGATATTTTATGAATACAATAAATGAAACCAACACCAACAATTCAATTTAACAAAAAAAAAACTAAAAATTAAAGAAGAAATATAAGATGCAATTTTTATCTAAATTTAGAAAGAAAATTGCATGTTTATCCAAGACAAATCTTTAATGATTTTCTCTCTATTTCATTCTCTCACTTGCTCTCTCTATATATTTATCTCCTTCTTTCCTCTCCCTAGATATAGGTGTATAATTTTTTCTCTCTTTTTCTCTAGAGATAGAGAATGTGTCCTACAATCTCTATAGAATTAGGATCCTTTCTTATTTTCACGATATATATATATATATACTATTTGGAATTTTTTTTTGTTGAGGTCAATCTATGGCTTGACGAGGTTACATCCGATCTTAAAATTAAGGGGTGCGGTTTGTATAAGGTGCCCAACTTAAACTATATAAGTAAAGCACACTTCTAAATTTTATTGGAAGATCTAGCTTTATTATTGAAAACCTTATGAAGTTCTAAAACTTCATATTCAACCCTAATTATAAATTTTAAGATTCTAAAAATAGTTCAGATTGGGTAGATCTATAAACATTGGAGACTTTAAAAAATAGACGGTTGAAATAACTTGTTATATGATGCACTATTTTTAAGACTTGAAATTATTATACCCATAAGTCTTGAGATTTATATAATCAAGTTGAAGGGTTTTCCAACTTCGAAATACTTTTTTTTAATGGATTTTTGAGGTTTACTAATTTTTATAGTATAGGGTACAACTTTATGTAATTTTTTTTTAAAGGAAAATTGTTTCATGCGGGTTGGACCATGTTTCTGTATGTGCGGTCCAAAAAGTGTAAAGCATCCATCTTAAAGATGGATGCAAGTAGGGTTCCATCTAAATATAATGGAAACTAACGATCCAAATATTTTTTTAATATAATTAATTTTTTTAGTTTTTAAAATGTATTTATTTTTCATATTCATGGTCTTCATGATTACATGTCTTTAAAAATTAAGTCTTAAAATCTATCTCAAAAATAGATTTATTAAAAGGTATGCATTTCTACATATGCGGGCTTGGTGCATTTCTACGTATGCAAGCATGACCGCATGGAAACCGGGTCCTTTTCTAAAATCTAGGTTTGCTTTTTAGCCCAGAGAGTAAGTAGACATTATACTCCCGGGGGAGTATATATCTTTTGGCTTTAGTTCTAGTGTTTTCTCTCAATCAGCTGCTGCAAACAAAATCTGAATCTTTTGACCCGTAGGACATAGCCTCCCTCTCTCTCTCCTTAGCATGGCGACTACTACTCCGGAGATCGAAAAGAAGGTTACAAACGAGGACCCTAAAATCGATCTATTTGAAGACGATGACGAATTCGAAGAATTCGAGAACGAGGGTATGGATTCCACTGACCCCTGTAACTTCTCTGCACCTTGGTTTCACATCATGTACTTCTTAACTTAACGTACACTTGGAATTTTTATTTCGTTTTTTTCTTTTTTCAACGTAGTTGTAATTTTTCATGTTGTTCTTCTTTACCGATTTTATATGATCGCTTAGGTAAAACTTGTGGAACGAAGCTAAAAGATTCCATTGATTTTTTTTATTTTTTATTTTTATTCCATTGAATCATGGTTATCGTTTCTCTTTTCTGTTTAGTTTTTTCATTTATTGCCACAAATTAGGGTTTTTTGGGTACCTTAGCTGGGATATGGAACTGTGCAAATTAGGGTTTTCTTGTTGATTGTTTAGAGGATGGTTTAGGGCAAAACATGAGAGACCTCTCTCAAATCTCTTTAGGATTCATGCAGAATATAGTAGTTTGCCTTTGCAAAGAAATTGTTAGGTACCTAACCAATACGCCCCAAAGCTCTTGGGTGATGGAAATGTGGAAAGTACGCCCTTAAACCACCTAGGATCGTAATGTACCACCACGCTCTGCCTACTCAGCAAGCTCTCACTCCATGGCTGCTCTCACTCCACGCTCTGCCTACTCGGCAAGCTCTGACTCCATGGCTGCTCTCACTCATAATGTTATTTTTTCAGGTAGCCCCTTTCCATGGGTAGCCCCCTTGTTCTCACTCTGATGTTATTTTTTTTAGGTAGCCCTTTCCTAGGATTTGAACCTGAATCGCAGTGGTTGCTCTGATATCAAATGTTAAGTACCTAACCAATACGCCCCAAAACCCTTGGGTGATGGAGTTACGGAAAGTTAAGTCCTTAAACCACCTAGGATTGTAACAGGAATAGTTATCTCATCTTTTAGCCTTGGCTTCGTTAGCTTCAGGTTTCTTTGATTATATATTCAGTTTCCTTTATGGGAAATTTATTTAGAAATTGAAGAAAATAAAGTTGCGGAATATGTGTAAAAGGGTCTTTTGCAAAGTCTCATGAGATGACTATTTTATAAACTCGTTAGAGTTTTTTGGAGCAATGCAAATGTGAATGAAGAGAGCTGACTGATTCGATCGAAACAAGAAAAGGGAAAACATTGGAGCAATGTCTGCTGCTTAAAACTTGAGATGGTTGATTGAGTCGGCATTTCTTTGGTGGCCGTAGTCCACTGTTTGATTGGAATTTGGAGACTAGGTTAAAGATGGGGACATTAGAGAGAGATTATTGTGTGCTGTGGAGATGTTAACAATGTGTAAGACTTGAAGGCTTGAAAGGCAGTTCAATCAATATTTTGTTCATTTAGTTTGTTGATTCCCTCATGTATGAATATTGGCTATGTGGTCCTTTCTTTGCTTCCCTTTTCATTGTTTTTATATACTTCGTAAATTGAAAATGTCATGAATATTTGATGGATCATCCAAAGAATATCCACTTTTTCCTGAAACCTATGAGTCTCATGGTCTCATTCAAGATGGCCCAGTCTACTTTGTTATATGCGTTCTGTAACTCAACTTTGCATGCTATTCCTCTCTGTTTGGCCCTGTATGATTGTATCTTGAATGGGTGTGTTTATAGCTCTATCCAACTTATCAGTCCTTTACAAATACTACTTCTGGCAATCATATTACATGATTTAGGACTTATTGTATTTAACCTTGAAGCTAGAACCTTTGTTAGGATGTTCTATGCACGTCAGTGAACTGGCCTGCTGGTCTTTGATGTTCTATGCCCCCTCTTTCTTTGTCACTAGGGAGTTGAGTTCATTGCATTGTTGATCCTTCCTCTCTCGTGGTACTCTTGTATTGGAAATTATCCTTAAGAAATTCCTAGAAGTCTCAGAAGGAAGGTAAAGAGAAACTGTCAGGCCCGGCTGTGTTATTACACTTCATACTGAACATTCTCCTCTTGATTTTCCAGAGGCAGTGATTCAAAAAGCGGCCGCCTAGGCGGTCTAGAAGGCTTGGGAGCATCGCCTAGGCCTAGGCGGCCAATCTAGGCGTCAGTCCCTGGGTGGTCGCCTATGCGGTACGGAACCCTCGCCCGCCCAGAGGCAAATTTTTTTTTTATAATATAAAAGGTTAGAAGGATGGTTTTAAGTTCATTTGAAACCTAAAACTTATTGGAGCCCATTTTAGAGAGAGAAAGCCTCCAAAAAAACTAGTTTTTTATGATTTCTTTAGGATTGAAGGGATATTAGATTTAATTTTTGATGTTTTATAAATATATTGGGGTTTTTTTAGAAGATTTTGAGTCCTTCAAAGTATCTTTGAGGTGGAAGTTTGAAGATTGAGCAATCACACTCAAATTAAGTGCCCTAAATACCTAATTTTTATTTTTTATATTATATATCCTTTTTGCATTCGATTGGCCGCCCAGGTTGTGGGTGCCCGCCTAGGCGCTGGGCGGCCTGGACCCCTCAGGCCGCCTAGGACCTGCCTAGCTCGTTTTTGAACACTGCCCAAAGGGTGTTTCCAGCAATTTTTTTTTCTATTGTGATAGTAACGAGAGTGGGAGGTTTGCAATATGGGTCTCTCTTCGGATTTGAATATCCTTTTGAAATACTCCACAATGGCCTCCTCTATTTCTTCTACTATAAAATAGATTTCCCCTGCTATTGTAATTCTGCTGATAGAGTTTGCTCTTCTATAATTTGCTATGGCATTGAAGAAGCATGTGTTAGGCTCCCTTCCTTTAGTCATCCACTTTTGATCTTTGATACTACAAGACCTCTTCTTATCTCAGGCAGTCTTATATAGCCATCTGGGCCTATTGTCTTGATTTGTGTTCTTCTGTAGATAGTGGCCTTTCCTCCTCAAGCTTATTCCCATATGCAACCTGTTCTAATGGAGTGGTGGTTTTTCCTTGCAAGTCACTGAAACACTCCTCATTCCAGATTCTCAGTTGAGATTTTGGGGCGTTTGGACTTTGGAAATTCCCCTTGGAACTTCCAGTTCTGAAATCTGAAAAGCTGGAGCTTTTGGGTTCCTTCTAATGGAGAATACTGTGTTGGGAACCTGTCCGAAATTCTCTGGATTCTGGAAAACTAGGTATAGTTTAATCGAGGATTTTGTAAACCTAAAGACTAGCAAATTACCCCATTTTTATCATTCGTTGAAGTTTTCATGTATAAGAGGGTGATATTTGTTAAGGACAATTTAAAAGCATTGCTAATCTACTATAGGTCTATCAAAATGGATGGTTCATCCATGGTAGCCAATTTCTCTCTCCACTAATCAAACTCTTGCACCCCATTCTCCTCATCATCTCTTTGAAAAAACCTGCCCATGGTAAATTCCTGCAATGTATGATATGTTGTGACCTCATCACTTCTCTCTCTCACTCAATCCCACATTTTCATTTATAAATTTCCAATTTAATCTCATAAAAAAATTTGTATCACATTTCCTCCTGTCCATATATTGGTTCTTGGGACCAAAATATCATATGTGTGAAAGACATAATGGGACCAAAATGAATTCTTCTCATATGCAATGTCAATCGCATGGTCACCTCTCTCAAAATTGAAAGATAGCGGAATTTACAAAAGAGATAAAAATGGGTATATCATCCAGAGGGTACCTTCCAAACCAGCAATTAACAGAAACGAGTTCACATGGATATATCAAAATTTGCTTACTTAAACAAATTATAAAATATACATATAACATCAGAGCAATGCTACTTCAATTGAACAACAATCATGTCTCTATCTGTTGTTAGCAGGGCATCAAACTCCAGAACAAAAATCTCAAAATCAGAATAGAATGAAGAATGTCCTTGATGAAGCTCTTATTTTTGTCCATTTTTCTGCTATATCTGGCGCATCATAACCATTTTTAAGCTCATTATCTGTGAAACACACGTTGGAAAATGCATTAGGAATGGTACCCCCATTAAACATGTATTGGAGAAGTTTCAAAGCATCATCCACCTTATTGATTCTGCAAAATTCCACCATTTTCACAAGCAATCAATTAATCCTGTATATATATGATGGCATTCAGTTGAATCTCTAGTTCAATAGACCACCAAAAAATTTTAGTGGTGTCTCACCATTACCATTTCTTGCCAAGACCATGAATTCAAAGAAGTTTAACCAGTAATATGAGCGCGCTAAGAAAGCTAGTACAAATGGATGAGAAAATTCACCCAAGGAAGCCAAAAGAAGATGCTAAAGACACCAAAGCTGAAGTCCATGAGATGCTGCAATTTGTCCAAGGTCTGCCATATGCAACTGAAACTCAACACTTTAACACCTGCTTTTAGTTCCCATAATCACCCCCTACCACCACTCTTTCTCTTAACCCATTTATTCTTCCTCTCTCTTCAACTCCCAATTCCTTTTCCTCCGCATTAAACACCTTCATCTTTCTTTGGAAACACCATTACTCTTAAAATACTCTTTTCAAGGACACCCACAATGGAACCACAAAAAAAGAAAGGAACCACAACCGAACAACTCATCTTCATCATCTGAGCCTTATCCCAACTATTTGGGGTTGGCTACATGAATCTTGTCCTGCCATTCTGCTCTATCAAGTGCCATACGCTCAATCAGACCATAAGTCACCTTGTCTCTTCTCACTACTTCCATCTATGTCCTTTTGGGCCTTTCTCTTGCCCTTTTAGAGCCCTTCACTTGAACCAATATAGCCCCTTTGTATTAGGTCTATGTTGCATATGTTTAGTCTACCTAAGTTTACTTTTCCTCATCTTATCTGCTATTGGAGCCACCCCTAAGTTACCATGTATGTATTCATTCCGAATTCTATTATTTCTTGTCTTGCCACTCATTCATCTCAACAACAACCGAACAACTATATAGTTTTAGCAAGTAAGTCATGATCAATATTTGGAAGTTTAAGGGAGAGGATCAAAATATGGAGACTGTATAATGCTTTTGAGAGAGAGAGAGAGTAACCTAGAGTTTGGGTGGATCTGGAACCTTAATGGCAGCCTTCCTTCTCCAATGTATCAGGGTTCACCACAATGGTGCCCTAAGCGAGAGAGAGAGAGAGAGAGAGAGAGAGAGAGAGAGAGAGAGAGAGCGAGGAGAGTAGAGTAGAGAGCGTGCGTGGAGGAGGAGTGGTGAGAGAGAGTAGTTGGTTTGTTGCGAGAGAGAGAGAGAGAGAGAGAGGAGGAGG